GGGAGGGCAGGGGGTGCCCCCCACCCCAGGGCTCTGGGCAGGCCGAGGAAGGGCCCCCTGCCCGAGGGGGCCGGGGGTGATGCGCTCCCCCGGCTGCGCTCCCTCCACGCCGATCGTTTACACGGGGTGGGATCCTCATCCAAAGACGGGGCCGGGCTTGCTGGGGTCCCCTAGAGGGAAGCCTCTGTAACCACACGTGTAATTCCCGATGCTACCAGCTTAACTTGCTTCATTAGCGAAGCTCCGGTACCCTCATATTCCTCTACTGTATCATGTGCTTTGTGGTGTTAGTGAGCCCATGATGAAGTGTCCTTTATCTTGTGCTTTCTTTTGGCCGAGAGTGGAATAGTGCATTCACTTAAAAAGCAAGCAAGAAACCAAGCAACCTTCAGAGAGATGGCAGGGCTTGGGGTGAAACACCCAGGGTGGCTCAGGGGAGAGGTGGTGGACGATGCTCCGGATCCCGGCATGGGAACAGCTCAGTATTTGCAGAAGGAGACTGGTGTCCCAAACAGGTTCTTCTCCTTTAGAGAAAGATGCTGTGATCTCCAGCATCCAAAATGCCCCTCTTCAAAGCAGGCGCTAGGTTCTGCTGCACCATGGGCAAAAGAGACGAAGGTTCCTACCAACCCAACCCAACCCAAGGGCACCGCCGCTGCCAAACCGCGGCACGCGTACACCGCAGTGTTGCGGAAGACAGAAACGTTCTTGCTTTGTGAGGCTGCAGTGGGTACGAAGCCACTTTATGGCTGGATACAGGCACAACTGTGTTTTCTCTCTGGATCTGTGCAATGAATTTCTCGCCCCCCAGAGCTAAGTGCACGTGAGAAAGCTATGAATCTCCAAAGCGTGCCTGGGGCTTGGGCTTATTGTCTACCTTCCAAAGGTGGCCAGTCTCTCTTTTTTTTTCATTTCCTTTCTCTTTTGAATACCTTGGGCAATGGGCAGTAGGCACAACATTGAATCAGCATACATTTAAAAGTAAATATATATATAAGAAGGAGTAATATATATATAAACACTTTGCTCATTTTATTTCTTCTAGTTTCTGCAAGTACAGCCAGGTCCCTGCAGTTCCTCAGTGTGAACACTCAAGACAGAGTTACTTTAAACCATTTCTGAAACTTTGTGAACATTTTGAAATGTTTTTATACAACCCGATGCAGAAGACAGTATTTGTTTCTCTGGGCAGCTCATATCTTTAAATGAAATGTAGATTAACTAATCAACTCTAGAGAAACCTTGACATGAAAAAAGTTGCATTTTCTTGGCTTTCCAGTCAATTCCCTGTTGTTGAAGATTTTGATTTTAACGATGTTCTTTCTAGAGCTTAACTGTATACTTGAAACTTGTCTCAGTTCGAGGGATCCAACGATCAACTTCGACAAAGGTACTCAAGGGTCAATGGAAAATAATTTTCCCCCGTGGCCCTCCGCAACAGTAGGGGAAAGATTTGGGATGTGAGGAGCTAAAGCCAAGGACACAGTCTCTACCAGACAGCTAAGTTAGAGAGGAGGAGGAGATGGCCTCACTGAAATGCTCAGTACTCGCCCAAACGCAACTTTGTTGAAGGCAAACTCTGCTGCCTAAATTCCGGTCCTTGCACTAAGGGGACTTTTATTCTGCTGCACTAATCTGACTCACAGTCAGTATCAAGAGATGGTGCAAGTATATTGCATGCCCAGATTTAGTACAAAATGCCGATCTATTTTTTTTTTCCAAGTGATGGTCTAGGACCTCCCTCTTGGAGACTGTTAAAGGTGGCCATGGAGGTTGTTAAAAACACTTGATAGGCTTAGGAAAAGTCTCAAGAAACCTCCTGTAAAGAACACTTTGATAAATTGGCATTTTTGCAGTCTTTCCACAGAGTAAAAATAAATGCATTTTTCTAGGTGTTTTTTCCTTTGCTGTTTTCCCTTTCTTATCTGTGGAAAGAGGGAAAAACAAGGAGAAGCGAGGAAGAAGATAAACAGGCATGAGTTTACCTGCCATGCACTGCGTTGTGGAAATCTCTGACCATTTTACCGCACCTTTGCTTTGGTGCGTTTTTTCCAAAAGAAAATCTTTCACTGGAAGAAGTTTCAAGTGACAATGTTGGACATCAGTGCCGACATTGGATGTTGGAGCCTCCTTATCTTGGACATCAGGAGAGCTAACTTAAAACCTTAAAATACTTACCAAGTTAGTAATGCTGTGTGCAGGGTGGGGATGCCCTGGTGTCCTTCAGTGCTGGCTTTGGGGCATGTTTAGTACAGAACACAGGGCCTGATTTTGGATCAGGTCATGTTGCCATAAACAAGGAGCAGCTCCCATGAACGTAATGGTATCACATGTGGATGGGGCACCAACTATAAGAGGAGCAGTGGAAAACAGAAAGGGTTTTCCAGCACAGTGAATCCTCTGTGGATCCAAAACCTCTGGAAACATGGTGAAAAGAGCCAAGCAGCCCCTGTCTAGCTCCTGGGCATCATGAGAAGGACACAGAGCAACTGGGGTATGGTCTGTCATTCTCCATTTTCTGGTGTTGAATGTATTGGTAAGCATCCTCCAGCTGGGATTCCTATATCACAAGTCATTAGAAAAGTTGAGGTCTATAAAAAACATTGATTTAATTATTGTGCTTTTCAGATGAGATACAAGGGGATGGTGGTAGTTCTGCGAGACACAAGGTCTGGTGGAAGTTTGCAGGTGTCTTTTGATTTCCACAGAGCCTCTGTGGCCACTGCAGGTGCAAGCCGGACCTGCCTGGAGAGGGCTGGTTGGTATTTAGTTGGGAAGACCTCCTTGTCCTCACCCTGGCGAATGGCCCAGATCTTGCCGTTGTACCTTCAAAAACTGAGCTTTGCAAATAACTTTTGATAAAAGATGAAGGGGCCAGAGCCTGGCCCTGCTTACACTTACATCCCTTCTGGACCCTACAGGAGCTGGTCTAGATTTACAGCAGCAGAAACAAGCAGAAAATTAGTCCTGAGCAATTCCACGAGGTCTCTAACCAGCCCCGAGCCTATGGCAGAGAGCAGCATAGCCAGGGAATGAATCCACTGCTTATTTACAGGTTTCTGCTTGCCTTTGGCTTTTCTACCATGAGTTGGTAGCAAGCAGAATATAGGTATGAAATGATTTCTGTGTCAGTGGTTGGTTGTTTTAGTCGAGGGGATGAGCAAAGGGCGAGGTGGAGGAAGAAAGAGAAAACATTCCTTGAATATACCGTGAAAAGGCCAGGGGCACCGTTGGATGGGACGTAACCGCAGCTGCACGAACGCCCCGCGTTTTGTGGAGATGTGCGAGGGGTCGGCGTGAGCTCGTGAGTTTACAACAAGCCCTTGTCCCTGTCCCAGCGTGTTTCAACTGAGAAATTTAAAAAAAAAAAAGCTAATAAAATGTATAGACTCTACCAACAAAGTTGCTTAGGTTTTTTTTTTCCTTTCCATTTTGTCCAGTTTGGGACTTTGAGCAGTGAAAACGTCTCTTTTTAGCCAATGTCATTTCAGTAACCAGCAGTAAATGTTGCAAGGATCTCAGTCCTGATGTGGCAGCCACAATTTGTTCATCTCAGACAAAGAGTTTTAATTGAACTTTGAATAAAAACCCGAGAAACCATTACTGTTCTCAGTAGGTGATGAAGATTCTTCTCTCTTGTAGAAGCGTCAAATTTGGGGTGGGGAGGTCTTTAAAAAGCCATTGATCTCGGTAATCACTTGTGTTGATGTGTATTGACCAGCATTGACAAGTCACTTAATTGTTAACAATTAATTAACGGTTCACTTTTAACTGTCAGAAATAATTGTTCAACGCACACGGTATTTCCTTGTAACTCCTTTCATTCACGCGCAACCTTTTCTCTCGGTGAGGCGGTCATGCTGCCGTACGGCTGATGGCTTCTCTTGTACCATTTGTACCTTTTCTGTGAACAATGCAGTTGCCTACTGCAAAAATCCCCCGGGAGCTGCCCTTCCCGCCGTCCCTGCAACCCCGGGAATGGAGCTTTCCCATTCCCGTTGGAAAACTCTGCAATACAGAGCATTATAGAGATAAAATGGATTTTTAGTAGAGAAGACCCAAATCAGAATGGATGGTCCAAAGCTCTTTTGTCCCTGACTTTGAGGGATGTGAATAAATTGTCTCCAAACTCCAAGGGTTTGGAGTTTGTGAAGTTGCCTTCACAAATTCTGCTCGATGTCATCAAGAGTAACTGTGTCTAAACCAAGGTTGTTCCTTCACATTTTGAGCAGGCGGCCACGGGCAGGACGCTGGA